CATGTCTACTTACTTAATTACAGAGATCTGATAGTCTCTCCTTTACTCTTAAGGCCAGACCTGAGAAAGTCTTATTTACCTATTAGCCATTTTTGGTAGGCAGTATGATGCTTTCTAGCACTACCCGAAGGGGGAGCAAACTGTGTTTGGAATGAATTTTTTTTTTTTATTAACTTAATTGAAAACACAGAAATGTAGGCCGTAGTAAATTGGCGTGTAGTTCTATAACTTACAAAAAATGAAACTTTCAGACCACTGTGCGAATTTGATTTTCATTAGCGACAATCTTCACAAAGAGGGTACATAATACGTTTGGAAAATTTCAGAGTGATTAAAGTAAATCCATTTCTAATGTATTACAGACTAAATTGTTTAAGTGGCATTTAGTAACTGGATGAGATAACACATGACACAATTATATGGAATACAAGTTAATTGAAGAGTTTATTTCAGCGACGTTTCGACGATGTATCCCACAGGCATCGCCCGCTTTGTCATAATTCTATTATGGTATTGTCGACATCATCGACGTTTTAAATGTCGTTCGCTTGCAGTTTGCACGGTCACATGACATGTCTATTATCAGATGACGTTATTTCCATGGAAACGAGTTGACGCCAGTTGTAAGATCGCCCATGTCGACTGCAACTAGTTGAAAGTGAAACATAGGCCATTGGCTTGAGTTGTAAAAGCTCAAGTGGATATTTCTAAGTTGTGTTCAGTTGAAGCCAGTTTCTCTCAGTTGTAAGTCAGTCTGATTAAAACACAGATCTGTATTTCTTGTCGTTTTTTTTATACTTTCGATGGTCTACACTACATGAAGATCTGACCAGTTGTACTGACGAGCAGCTTTTGAGCCTATGACGTCAGACATTGATTAATCAATCAGCGTTGACGTTTCTGGTGGTTTACCCATAGTTCCGTGCATGGCACGCTAAAAAATCGCCGTAACAGATGGTTTCATTGGCTAATCCCTCACGCCATCCAGAACGCCTGTTATATAACAACTCTTCCAGATCCTCGAGTGTAGTACAGAAAAATAAAACGAAATTTTGAACTATATAAATAGGATCTATGCTTTAATCCGATTGGTTGTAAGGTCGACATAAGCACCCCCCCCCCCCCCTAATATTGGTGGACACCAATTGTTTATTATGACCAGTGCGTCGTTAGCGACACTGAATCTACGCTTGGGCAAAATAATGGAGATTTTTTTGTCCCCTGCATTTTAAAGAAGGTAAAAAGGGACTATTAAAATGGGGTTTTCTGTCTGCCCATCGCACTTGTTATTTAACCAATACCTTTGCTTCTAACTGAGAAAATATCCTGCATAGGCAATTGCAATTATCAATGCTTTGGAAATACGATAACGTTGATCAAAATATACATTGTTTAATATGGTGCTTTCTAACCTTTAAAGATTGTTCGTTTACGCAGATTAAAAAAATCGATTATCACTGAAGTTTGCGAAAGTTTTTTACCTAATAATTTGGTGTGGCCGTTAGGTAGACCTCCACTAAACTTAACAATTATAACAGGTTCCCTTGTGGAGATAAATTGTCACTTTTGCTATTGCTGTTTAAATTCAAACACATGGAACATGTTGTTAACCACAGTTCAATTAGAAGATGAATTTCATTTCTTTCTTCTTTTTATACGGCCGTACTATGCCGTCGCCCCTGTCTGTGAGAGAGAGAGAAGTGGCGTTTAACGTCCACTCGACACAAACCAGGTCATTTCGGGACTAACATAATGGTTCAATGTTATTTCAATAATTCGCTTGCGCGTAGGGGTCTTTAGCATGCGTGGGAGTACCCGGAGAAAACCCAGGTGGACAGGTAACCCTACTCCTTGTCACGTACAACCGGGGAATCGAAACCACGCTAGTTGACTCAATGACAGACCTTATAATACAGTGCGCACGCGCAAACCACTCGGCCACCCAACCCCACACCCAGCCGGTGTGTGTATGAGCCTGTGGGTCGCCTACAGGGCGCAATTCTTTATGGATTATCTTGAAACTTTGCATACCGATTTCTTATACTATAAGGATGATCCTATTGTTTTTGGTGCATGCCCGACCCACAGGGTTAGAGCCACATCCATTTTGTGTACTTGTCACCTACAGGCCACAATTATTGATGGATCATCTTGAAACTTTGCATACTTATTCATTATACCCTAAGGATCACCAATTGTTTTTGGTGCATGCCGAACCCCCCGGGACAGAACCACACCTATTTTCTCTTTGTGCGTCGTATGCATGCCACAATGCTTAATGCATTGCCTTGAAAACTTTGTATACTTATTCCTTATACCCTAAGGATGACCTATATTATTTTTTGTGCATGACCGATCCTTAGGAAAGAGCCACGTCCAATTGTGTGTGTCTTTGTGGCGGCTATAGACCATAATTATACCCTAAGGACGATCTCTATTGTTTTTGGTGAATGCCCGACCGCAGGAACTGAGCCAGACCCATTTCTTCTTGGTGTACCTGTGTGTTGCCTACGGGCCACAATTTTAATGAATCGTCTTGGAACTTGGTATATGTATTCCTTATTGTCTAAGGACGACAACTATTGATTTTGGTGCATGCCCCGACTCCCAGGGGAAGAGTCACGCCCATGTTTTGCGTTAATCGTATACTGGCCGCAATTCTGAATGGATAATCTTGAAACTTTGCATATTTATTCCTTCTACCCCAAAGACAGCAGATGTTTATTTTGGTGCGGGGGATTGAATGGGTTAGGGCGTGCACGTTGTATCATAAGGTCAGTCATTGAGTCAACTGGTTTGGTTTCAATTCCCCGGTTTTACGTGACAAGTAGTAGGGTTGCCTGTCCAACCTCGTGGGTTTTCTCTAAGTCTTCCGGTTTCCCCGAACTGCTAAAAACCCAACGCTCAAGCGAATTGTTGAAATAAAATTGAACCATATGTTAGACCCGAAATGACCTAGTTTGTGTCGAGTGGACGTTAAACCCCATCCCTCTCTCTCTCATTAATTAGATCCCCCGGTTTCCTCCCACTGCTAAAGACGCCTACGCGCAAGCGAATTATTGAAATAAAACTGAACCATGCGTTAGTCCCGAAATGACCTAGTTTGTGTCGAGTGGACATTAAACCCCATTTCTCACTCTCTCTCTTTAAAACACTGAGGCTGGATGACCTGGCGCCTGGTACGTTCGGGCATTTTTATGCGCGAACTCTTAGGGTTTTTTTTACTGGCATGCGCACAGGAACTATTTCTTTTTCTTTTAACAAGTACCCAAATCGGGGATTTCGTGCGGAGGTAGTTCGGAGGTAAACAGTCTGTGAAGTACAACACTTGCCACTGTACCTGTATATCGCTAATTATAAACCGAATGTGTGAAGACAGTTCATACATATCACTCAAAAAATTTTCAGTACAAACTCAGTTGATTCACGCTCGATTTGCTACTAAACAAACCCATCGGTTTATTTTCTCAACAGTGTGACCCGAAGTGACCGCGGATTTATTGACCTTGTATGAACTTATCCATAGCTATATCCTTACACCGAGAGAAATTATCTAGTCTCGGTGAAAAGAACCATGGTCATCTGGTAGAAAATTACTTTTGTATTTTTTGGAACGGAAAACAGTGTTTTTAGAAGCAAACTAACCTGCCGCACATGAGGAAGTCATTATACTAATAATAAAAGGCGAGACCTCTTTTTGCGGCGCAGGCTTATCACTGAGTAGTAAACCGTCCACAAACAATAATATAGGAAGCCTAGTGACGAGTGTAGTACTGTAAGTAGACTATAGGTTTGAGTCGAGATTACTCGCTTTCAGTTTACTCTGTTTTTGCGTTAACCAATTATGTGAGAAATACCATACTGACATTCGGTTTTTAAAAGTTGTACGCGAACTAAATGCGTTTGTTAGATACTGACAGAGCAGCCCCGAGTCGAACAATCGCCACCCGAGCTGTCGTCGTCAGCTAGTTTCACAATATCGTGCAATAGGTGTATTAATGTGATTTTTAGGTTTAACCCCGCAAACAATGCCAAAATAATGTTTTCACTGCTTACAGAAAACTGAAATTTAAAAAAAAAATTTTTTATGAGGGTGACCCTCCCACACACTCCCTATCGAGCTGCCGCTCGGTCTGCGCAGCCTCATGCCTGGCACATACTGTCAACATTGTATATTTTTCCGTTTCCGCCCTTCCCCCCCACAATATATATTTCACGGCTACGTTGCGACGGTACCAGCATACCCAGTTGTTGACACCCATTACATCACTCCTGTCTAACAAATCATAAAGCTGTGGTGTTACGGTGGCGGCATAGTATTTCACCGTAACACCACAGCCACTCTAACCATTCATAATACATCTAACTATCCCTTTACAGCACTTCACTCCCTACACATTTCCCCTCGTCCTACTTTCCCAAACGTCAACAACACATCTCATACATCCAGTTCGCTGATAAACCCTTGTACCACGTCTACTGGATATAGAAGTGTGTGATTCGGACCTTCTTGAGACACAACGCTCTCTCTCCTAGATAGAACTTTGTGCCTGACAAATTCATAGCAAGAGAATTAATGAAATAAAATTTAACCATATGTTGGTCCCAAAACGAACTAATTTGCGTCGAGTAGACGTTAAACCCTATTTCTCTCTATTTTGGGGCATACCCCGACCCCCTGGGGTGGTGTCACACCCACTTTTTTGTTAATATTTAGTCAATAAATTGGGCAAAACAAACCTCAACGCATAGCCTTCTTTGCCATATTACAGTCATTGCAGCCATTTCATATTTCATGCTCTTCATTTTAAAAAGTACCTTATCAACCAAAGCAGGAATGTGGACGTATATTGCAGCAGTTGCGATGCTCTTGTTTATTTTGTGAGATTAGTTGGTCAGAAACGCAAGAACGTAAAAAACGTTTTTCACTCATTTATTTATTTATTCAATCATAATGGACGAAGCCACAAATACATAATAATACGGAAATTTTTGCACTGAGAATTACAGTTCAAAGTCTACAGCAAGTAAGATGTTGGCGTTGGCCGAGAAAGTTCATCTGGATTTTCCGGCGTGGTTTCCCCCTTGTCAGTGGTGCAGGACAGAGGGCCCGACAAGGGTTAAACTATAGTCGTTCCGATATGACAAAAAAAACGAGGTCCCATGTACACATCGGAGTGTACGTAAGGAACCCATGGCAGTTGTAATTCGATATAAGAGTAGGCCGTGGTGACGATATCCGTGCAAAAATTCCCTCATAGCACACCGTATGTCGTATGTCCGTCTTCATTTGCCCAGTCAGGGCAGAACAGTAGGACGTTAAAACCCATTTCTATAGCAAGATTTATGTAACATGTTCATACCTCCGTCTCGGCAACACTCTTTCGTATGATATTATTATTACCACTAACTGAGCAGCCACGCGAGCAATATAGGTGTTGACTATGATCGGGCGTAGGAATGTGACCAAACCGTACGCATACCATTTTGACGATCTCGTTTCTGAATTTTTGTCCTGTTGCACAATATAGAAAAAAGTTGATAGAATGGTTAAGATACATAAGAAGTTCTGCTACTGTTACAAAGAGTCGTAACTTTGACATTTCCGCAACGTTGTGCGACCGTTTATTCCAGAAAAAAGAGCCAATGATCCCGATATTCATGGGTAGAGTTGTTACCAGAAACGTGAACGAAACAGTTAGCAACATTATAGTTAATCGCGAATTTCCTTCCAAATTAAAACGACGTATGTTCTTCCCGCGGTTCTGTAAATATTCTCTACCAGTAGTCGCTCTAAATATCCTGAAAATTATTAAAATGTTGAAAATCAGGATCAAAACGAAAGGCACAAAACTGTACAGTAAGGCATCTATCCATGGCCAAACAACGTTCACAAGATATGCATGATCTGGAGAACTATCGCATTTCATTTCCCCACCGTTTACTGACTGATGTAAACCCACCGTCCAAAAGAAATGCATGTTTATCGCAACAAACGTGATCAACAATGCAAATATAGTTTTTTTCGCTTTTTGAACACTGCACAATCTTTGAGCTTTTAAAGGATAGGCAACTACGATATACCTCTCTAGGGTAACTGCAACTATCAGCCACACTGAGAAATCACTCCATACGTAACCAAGCGTGATTATACATTTACAAAGCCAGTCTGCTTGGTCCCTTATATCAAAATTAGATAACTCTCCTACCCACAATCGTAATAATCCTATCCCAAGAACCAGTGAGTCTGCCACGGACAGAACTGCAAGAAAAAGATATGTTGAGAGGCGAGACATAGCTTTGTGTCGAAGTACAAGGAATGCAAATATGTTCCCAAAAGTCCCAAGGATAAGTAATATGGGTGGAATGTAAATTAAAAGTGTTTTATGAATTCTATATTCCTGATAATTAAGAAACGCTTGCTCATCGCGTGGGGATAAATATCCACCAACAAGGTACTGTCGTAAATCATCTTCATTGGTAATTCCGATCAATTCGAATAATTGGATCCTTTCTTCTGGTCGCAGTTCGTGAATTTTTGACAAGATATCTGTTATATTCATATCATTCGATAAATATGGCATTGCCGTCATCTTTCTGAAAAATATAAGCAAGTGATGTGTAAACAATATGAATCCGGCAATGTTAATAGATAATTGTACTGACAATCTGAAAAACAGAGTAAAACAAGCCAACAGTAAGGCTGATGTCCCCCGCCGAAATCCCGAAATAAATAGATGACACCTATTAATTAATTGTACGTTTATCTTTTTCAAAATAGTATCGAGCAATCAAACTAATTATTAACTATACACTAAGTTTCATCACTCTCTATCAGGCAGAATCAAAGTCAAAGAAATTGCTTAGCTTTAGCGGGAAATGTTAATCATTGAACTACATTCAAGACATTCACCTAATGAAAATCAACATCAAATTTAAACATTCTACCTCAATTCAAAGCAGAGGTGTTATGTTCCAAAGTCTTAACCAATCTAATTGCTTATCGCTCCTTGGCATAAGCAGAAAATTCTCATCAGTCATAATTATAACCAAAGTTATCGTGCCATAAGCATCAACCAATCAAATTGCTTATCTCTGCTTACCTTAAGCAGGCAATGTTCATCATCAAAATCAAACTCCGCCAAGGCATTCGCCTAATAAATGCCTACACCAAGTTTGAACATTCTACCTCAATTAGGAGAGTTATTGTGTTTCAAAGTCTCGACTAATCAAATTGCTTATCGCTGTGCTTACCCTCAGCAGAAAATGTTCATTAACGAACTTAGTCAAGGTAATGATGTGATTTTCATCACTTTCACTTAATTAGAACAAAAGTTATTGTGTCCCAAAGCATCAACCAGTCATATTGCTTATCTCTTCAAACTCCACCAAGGCATTCACCTAATAAATGCCTACACCAAGTTTGAACATTCTACCTCAATTAGGAGAGTTATTGTGTTTCAAAGTCTCGACTAATCAAATTGCTTATCGCTGTGCTTACCCGCAGCAGAAAATGTTCATTAACGAACTTAGTCAAGGTAATAATGTGATTTTCATCACTTTCACTTAATTAGAACAGAAGTTATTGTGTCCCAAAGCATCAACCAGTCATATTGCTTATCTCTTCAAACTCCACCAAGGCATCGACCTAATAAACATCTACACCCATTTTGAACATTCTAGCTCAATTAGAAGGAGGGTTATTGTGTCCCAAAAAGTGTGACGGACAGACAGGCTGACGGACGAACCCATTTTAATAGTCACCGGTTAGAAAGCCGGGAGACAATAAAACTTTAAATACATTAGACTTTAAATAGCTTGCCATTTTATCTTCCACAAAAAATGGGTTTCGATTAAGTAAGGTTTATATCTGCATTTGGCTTGTAAAATCTGTCTACATGAAAACATTTAGCCAATGCTGATCATGTAACTGATTTTATCTTGCACAACGAAACTAAAATTAGTAGCCAAACCCATTACTGTTAAATATTTCCGAACAAAAATTAATGGTAGAGGTTTTTGTCGCATCAGTAACTGAAATAACTCGGGAAATCAACGCAAATTCAACATTTTTATCTGACCCAAGTAACAAAGCTTTAGCTTCTTACATTAAGTATAAAATATTCCCTGTACTTTGGATAATGTCTGTAAACGATGTCCTGTAAAGAGAAGGTCGAACGTCAAAGAAGGATATCATTAAAGAGTCATCACCATGCATCTACGCATTTTCATATTTTACAATAACTGATAATAACGAAACCAAACTATTATATCTAGGCACAGTAGGTGTGTGTATAGATGTTTTTAATTTTGGCTTTGATCCTTTATGTAAACACACACGAACGAAATGGCATACAAGGTACACATAATTAGCCTGGGGTTGTATTTACTTCAATTAGTAAATCGTCCATAGTCAATCAGCAGCATGATAGGGTTTAATATAAGTATCCTGCACTCATGGGTAAAATAAAAAAGAGTAAGCATACCTTCTCGTGTATGACACTCGCCAATCAATTATAGTTCGGACCTGGATTTCAGAAGCTGCAGATACCGACCAGAACACAACGCAGTAAAATAAGTACTTTTTAAAGTATTCCAAGTACTTTTTTGCAATGTTCAAATAAAGTTTTTGTGTAACTAATTCCGTTACAGTACCAACAGTCGCACAACTCTAATAGATATAGACTTCTTATTCTGGTTCCAGAAAACATCAACGATTATGGATGGTGTTGATAAAACCCATTTTCGCGAGCGTATATTTGTGACTTAAATATCCAGCCTCAGTTCACAGAAATCTCCAATTAATCCAGTCTTTTGTTCTGTTGGAGCATTAATACCGCTTATAGTTATTATTAAGATTCAGCGTGCTAAAGCTGCCATATATTCAGCCATTGGCGACACAAAGCGGATGTTTGTAGTCTTGACTATTGAATGTAAATGACATAAAAACCAATAATGAACTCTTGCTTTAGAATACATGTCCTATCCGACATGATCACCTGTCCAACCTCATTCACGGTTTCCTCCACTGCTATTGACCCCTACACGCAAGCTAATTAATGAAATAAAATTGAACCATTTGCTAGTCCCGAAACGACCTATTTTGTGTCTGGGAAAAGAAAACAATACGGTCAACATGGGAGATACATATATCATGACTTAAACCCAATCAAACACTTGTAATATTATTCCAGCGTTCGGAAATTGTCCTTCATTAATGAGTATCACCGTTAAATTAATGCGTTCATTACAGAACAATCCTAGTAGAGTTCGATTTATATGAATATTGGACTGAAACTTATCGTTATAACACCCCCCCCCCCTCTTTACCTTCACATTTTAAACGTAGACAGATACCTATTTCACAAAACAAATAAACACACCAAACACTTTCCTCCACTGTCTCATTGTTGTAACTGTAACACGAGCTGCGGTGTATCAGACACTGTTTCGCTTACCAGGAAGTTTTGGGTTAGTTCTTTGTGTTGGCCCAGAAAGTTCCTCAGGATTCTCCGATGCGTTTTCCTCTTGTCCGTGTTGCAGGACAGTGGGCTTGGCAAGGACAGTGTCTAGGCTTTAGGGTGGGGCGAAACACCGAAGTCTTGTGTACACATTGACGTGCATGTTAAAGAAGCCATGACAGTTTGGATTCGAAATAAGAGTAGGCAGTAGCGCTACTGTCCGGGCAAAACTGCGCTTATACCACACTGTATGGCATATGTCTGTACAGAAAGGTAAGACGTTAAACCCCATTTTTTTTTTCATTCCATTGCCGATAATTTTAACACCAGAATGTTCCGGTTTGAATTTAGCCTTCTTTTTACCGGAAAACATCAAACCGGAAGTGAAATTGTTTTGCACACCTATTATCCATGGTATCCATGTAATGAACTAATTTAGACTTATTTATTATATTAACGATGCGCTATTCGCATATCCTATTTCTCATGTCTTTAAGATACATTATTTAAGATTTAGATAAAGAGCTGACCATTCTTACTATAATAGTTCGAATATAGATAATGCAAAAGGAAAATCTTAAAACTTTAATTTAAATTACTTTATTCTGACCGAAGTTATCACTGTTTGTAGTTTTGATAAGATGTGTGCATTGTGGTAACCAGAGCAATGGTATATTCGAGACTTAGCCTCGCTTTCCCATTTTTAAATTAAATTTTTAAATGGAGAACCGTTCTAATCTAGTTAAAATCTCGAGTATCCGATGCCATCGAGAGTTGATTATGGTCTTGTTTTGTTAATAAATGTCTAAATAATAGTTATATAACATGTCAGGCCTAAAGAAAAATCTGTAATAGGCAGATTTAGCTCTTGCAGGGGCGGATTGGGCCATCGGGCGATCGCCCGAAGGGCCGGTCAGACAAAAAAAAGAAAAAAATAATTTTGTCCAATTCGTCTAAAAAAAACTTTCTGCTGAACATTATATGGGAGGGGGGGGGGGGTATATTACCGGCCATGGAGCGATGATGATCATGTTGTATCTGGCCGGTGGCTTTAACGGGCCGCCACGCTATCACTGGAGTCTGGAATGGGCTGGTATAATAGACTTTCTGGGCCGGGTGTGCTGGGTGTGGGCCGGAATTCGGAATCCTGCAATGGGGATTCCGAATTTCATCCGAAAATTTCACCCCCATTAATAATATGACGATATGATAATTTCACAGCTTGATGGTTGTAAATTACTTGCAGATCGGGGTTTTGGCCTAAATTAATCGATTTATGAGATATATTATTTGACAGAGATTATAATCAGATATGCCACCAAATCGCATCTTCGGGGTTCATTTTTCAACATTTTCCTGGGGGAGAGCCCCCGAACCAGCCGTCCGGACTCCGCGGTCAGTAAAAGGGACCGCTCCGACACAGGACCCCGGCCCGGTTCCCGGCCCCAATCCGCCCTGAGCTCTTGCATAATGTATGTTAAATGTACCCAGATTGATTATGAAAATAAAATCAAAATACTAACGCTAGATAATGTACTGGCTTGGATTCAATCGGGTTTAAAACAGGCCTACCAATAAATTCTTTTGGCAAACAAAATGGCGGCGGCTTTATTACATAGTGAAGCACCATATATATTGGTGACATTTTAATTCCACATGTTTTTGAAGATACTAACCAAACCTGAACCATTTTGGTACTGATATTCCTATTATAGACTTTATGTTTAAGGTTGATCGTATCTAAGTCATGTTTTGTACGCATACGGGAGTGCATCAAATTAAATTAATCGGCTTATAATCAAGACTTACTGTCGGAATCATGTGATCGCCTAGAGTGTGTGGCTGCTTGGTTTTCGTCGTGTACATATATTATCTGTGTTATAGTGTATGATCTACGTCAATAATTCTGCAGGATTGTGTATGAACTACCCAATACCTTTTCGGTAACAATACTCTTTATAAAGATCTTTTTGATTATCGTCTTTGATGAAAATTGCATTTCAATGTATGAAAATGGTGACATTTTAATGAATGGCTTACGAAGGTGCTTAAGAACTGAGTACAATATAATCTGAACTGAAATCAAACAGAATACCGGTCGC